ATTGAAAAACCATTCCTTGTTTTCAATAGCTGTTTTCATGTTTAATTGGCCAGATCTATGGCAAATGCTACTAAAGCAGGGGAAAATGGTTGTGCCATCTGCATAAATACCTTGTTAGGAATTGATGACATCGAAGAAATAATTGATGAAGATCAGAAACAGTATAGGTAGAAAGATAAAGGCATTGGGGCCCAAGCTTTAATGGGAAATTATCTGGTATTGTGGTCGTTCAATATGACCTTAGGAACAAATGACTGATATACGTCCCGTAACACTGTAGCCTTCGAAAAGCATCGGCATTCTCATATAAAGCCTGACATATAACATTAGAGATGACCATTAATATGGTCGTAGTAGTGGACCTGGAGAATCATGATAGAGTGGTATGCTATGAACCTCCTGAAATAGATAGATAGATAGATAGATAGATAGATAGATAGATAGATAGATACACAAACGAACACACACACACACATATATATAGAGATAGACAGAGAGATAGATAGATAAATAAATACACAAAAATACACACATAAACATATATATATATATATATATATATATATAGAGAGAGAGAGAGAGAGAAAGAGACAGAGAGAAAGAGACAGAGAAAGCGACGAATGCATTCATGCATACATAAATAGAAAAATACATACATACATATAATAATAAACAGATAGATACACACACAAACACACACACACATATGTATATCTACACAGAGAGAGATATAGATAGATGCATTCATGCATAACATAAATAGATAGATAAATACATACAGACACAACACACACACATTATTATATATATATATATATATATAGGTAGAATATATAGATACACAAATACACACACAAAACACACACACATATATATAAAACACACACATATATATATATATATATATATATATATATATATAATATGTATATATATATATAGATACATATATATATAGATAGATTCATGATAGATAAATAGATAAATAAATACATATGCATACGTAAATATATATATATATATATATATATATATATATATATATATATATATATATATAGGTAGAATGATACACACACAAATACACACACACAAACACATACACACACATATATATATATATATATATATATATATATATATATATAGATACATTCATGCATACATAAACAGATAAATAAATACATACAGGGTGCGATGGTTGAATTGTTGCCATTTGAATATTTAATTTCCTGTATGCGCAAATAACCTTCACAGGTATGAATGAATCTCTTCTTTACCATCTATGGGCTGAATAGTAGTACATAATATAGATACACACACAAACTCACACACACACACACATCTATATATATATATATATGTATGTATATATATATATATATATATATATATATATATATATTAGAACATTCAACATGGAGTTCTACATCACGACGGTGGTTGGTGGAAGGCCTACATGAAGACGATGGTTGATGGAAGACCCTATGTCTGGCAACAAGACTCTGTACCACACCGCACAAGAAGGAGAACCCAGTCATAGCTCTCAGACAATTTCTACGATCACCTCACACGTTACATATGGCTACTTGTCTCTCCAGACTGTAACGCACTTGATTATTATGCGTAGGTCGCAAGTGAGCAGGAGACCAACAGAACTCCCTGTAACATCAGAGATGAACTGAAGGCAAAGGTTATAGCAGCATTCACCAAATGAAACAAGAAGACTGCTCAAAAGTGATGCAGATTCCGAAGTTGTCTGAAGATTGTGTTTGAAGCCAATAGCGCTTTTAATGATTTTGCTCTTTAGTATTTCAAGATATTTTTGTGTAACTTCGGTAAATATATCTGTATAAAATGAGATGTCAGTGTCATTTTCATTTTTGCATAATTTAGACGAAAATTTATATATCGCACCCTACACACACACACCTCTGATTTATACTCCAACGATGCTGAGCAGACCTTAGTTACTGTTTTTGGGAGGGAGCGTGTCATCTAGCGTAATCAACGATGACTTGTGTCCGCGTGTTAGCACATCTATCGACGGCCCCCCAAGTGTTCCGTCTACCCCAATTTCACTCACAAGTCTTGGGTCCAACCGTGGTATGGTTTTCGGGCTCTTGCCATACACTGGGATCGTCCTCCTCTCTAGACCGATAACATCAGGAAGTTTCCTTCTTGAAGAATCACCGCGGTAGATAGGATAGATAGATAGATAGATAGATAGATAGATAGATAGGAATAGACTGAGATAGATAGATAGATAGATAGATAGATAGGAACAGACTAGATAGATAGATAGATAGATAGATAGATCTTTATTTAGATAGCTCCATAGATAGACAGATGTTGCGTAATTCCATCTTTATTTCCGGTTTGAAATCGTAAAAGTGTCTGCTATCTGGGATAGAAAAGATATTAAGACGGAAGCGGCCTCTATTTTTTCATCAAACAGCTATTAAGTGTAACTAATGGTACCAGGCGATAAAATTTGGGCGGGAAATAGAAACTAAATTGTTCGGAACCAAAAGAAAAAAAAATACGACGGTAGACTAATTTACAATAGAGGTACAAGAAAACAAAGGCTAGTGTATCGTCATCAGTCAGCAAGGTATGAAAAACTGATGTGGTCAGAAAAGCAGCGACAATTGTGAGTGAGAAATGCTGCTGAGAATGGAGAATTCTATTAGGAATTGGAAAAGAACGAATAAATCAAAGAAGAAAGAGAAGGAATATTATTAAATAACGAAGTGAAAGAACGTGAGATAAAATTTGAAAGGGATCGCGTGAATTAAATAGGAAGAAAGAAAGAAAGAAAGAAAGAAAGAAAGATCGAGAGAAAAAGCGGAAAGAAAGGGAAAGAAGAAAGAGAAAGAAGAAAGGAAATTAATAAAAAAAGAAAGTAAGAAAAAAGACAGAAATAAAGGAAGTAAAAAGAAAGAAAGAATGAAAATGAAAGAAAGAAAGAAAGACAGAAAAACAGAAAGAAAGTGAATGAAGAAAGGAAATTAATAAAAAAGAAAGAAAAAGACAGACAGAAAGAAAGAAAGAAAATTAAAGAAAGAGAGAAACAAACAAAGACCGGTAGAAAACCGGAAAGGAAGAGGAAAAGAAAGGAAAAAATATAAAAAAGAAAGAAAGACTTAAAGACAGAAAGAAAAAGAAGAAACACAGAAAGGGGAAATAAAAATAGAAAAAAACACGAAGAAATGAAAAATGTAAAACATGAAAGAATGAGAGAAAGAAGAAGAAAGGAAGAAAGAAAAAGAGAAAGAAAGACAGAAAAAAGAAAGAGGAAGGTAAAAAAAGAAATCAAAAGAAGGTAGGAAAAAGAAAGAAAGAAGAAAAAAAAGATTATCAAAAAAGGATAGATTATGTGGAAAGAGAATGAAAAAAATATATAATTATGAAAGAAGTACGAAAAAGTGCAAATATAAAAGAAGAAAAATAAAGAAAGAAAGAAACAAAAAACAAGGAATAAGAAAGTACGAAAGCCTAAAGAAAAAAATAAATAGATAGAAGCAAAAGCGGGAGAAAGAATGAATAATAGAAAGAGAAAAAAAAAAGAAATATAGAAAAAAGAAAGAAATAATTAAAATTAAAGAAATAAAGACAGGAAGAAAGAAAGAATGAAAGGAAGGAAGGGAGAACAAGCGTAACAGGATACAGACGAAAAAATCGACTATGAAATGATAAGACAGTAAATCAAGAAAAGACAAGCGAGAAAATTATTTGAAAATAAGAAAAGAATGAAAGAAAGGAACAAGCAAAAATTATTATTTGAATCATTTGAAATAATTATTATTTCAAATGATGAGTGGTTCTCTGTACCAAGTATACAGACCAAACATATTTCAACACAGTAAAATGTTGTATCTTACAGAATAATCTTTGTACTTTTCTTCATTTGTATTTGAGAAATACGCTGGACTTTCCACCGAACGTCTTTCAGGCTTGATTCTTTCTATCATTTAAAAACTCACGTATAATCATAACGATAAACTACTTCCGGTTGGCAGCAAGACCTTCGATCGGTAGATTAGAGGTATTGAGAAGCGTGGGACCACCTCTTAACCGATTTTGTTCCCATGTCCACCCAGGCCTGGAATTATAGCAGCTGTTAAGGTCCCAGCTATGGGCAAATAGAGAACTCCAAAACAAAAATTAGCAGCTCATTTTTTTTTATAACAGTTTAATTTTATAGAATAACAATTTATTTTTATAGTAAAGTGACAATCAATGACACGTTTAAAAAAAAAACGGATACATGGCTCAGTGGATAAAAGCGTTGGTCAGATCCAGTAACTTAACCTAAAGAGTTATGAGTTCAGTCCCTGGTTACTACAGTGGTGAACAAAAACGTGGAGAGTTCAGTTAAAGGGCGATAACTGAAACAGCCGGGAGAAGCAAAATAAAGAGTTCAGTTCGTTAATTCCAATCACCCGAAGAAGTCCAGGGCGTACAATGGCCAAAACGTCGTAAATATAGCAATAAATATGAGAACAGTCCAAAGAATGGAAATAATTGCAATAACTCATCCTAGAAACATTATAAAAATGCATTTTTATGGTGAAATCGCCAACAATGTATTTTATGATATACAAAGCATATATCTTAAAAACATAGCTTTACACTGAAAATATACAATTATGTCCAAACTATCTGTCGTTGAATACATAAAATTAAGTCTAAAATATTTAGATTTCGGCATTAAATAACTCATATACGTGTTGATTTGGCGCTAACCCAAACTAACCAAGCACGGGAGGTAGCCTTTCACAAATCGGTTGCAATAAAATGTCTACTGACAAAAGAAACTCTCGATTTTTCTGCCGCCACTTTGATTCCGTTCATTCCTTTTCTCCTGTTTAAAAAGAAAATATTGACACAATAGAAAGTTAAAGAACAACTCAAAGTAGATGGTTACCAAATGACATTGTTGCGTTGATGGAAGAGAAATAAATAAATATAGATTATAATGATATGCAAGAAAGGTAATGGTTGACTCTAGTCATTATGGATTCGAAAAACGAGATCGGGAGATCAGAACTTCTTTCCTAAAAATGGAATACAAACAGAATGAAATATGTGTCTACCTATATACCTGGCACAGTGGATCCTAGCTGTAAATGACTGAACTGGTGAATCTAAAGCAAGTAGTTAAACTGGCGATTTGCCATGGAAATAAACGATTGAGTAGTGATACAGTTGAAACGTTGCTTCTATGTTGAAGGGGCAGTAGGGGTTGCAGAATTTATGCGTCAATCTTTCCTCATTTTCTCATTATGTTTTTTTTTATTATTATTCTGAAATAAATTACGGCTACAAAATTGATTTCAACTTCAACCACCGCGACGCAAATGAGTCCAAAACTTTCTTGTCGATAACGTCAAAACGGTAGATTATATCAAAATTTCTTTGTTATTTTCGAATTAAGCACGGGCATTTACACCTAAATGGAACTATTCGGGGAAATTTTTATCAGAAAATGAGCGCGGGGTTTGAACTGCAAATTAGCCTTTTGAGGTTCTGAGTTGAAATTAGTTTTTTTCACCCGGCAATAGGTTTAGAAATAACCCATCACCCACAACAGCCGCGTAAACGTTTTTAAGCACTGTTAAAGCTGGAGAGTAAGGACTGAGCAGTTTGTCCCCAAATATGGTAGTAATTTTTTTTTTTTTTTGTTTAGTTTTGGTGTGATCTGGCCTTTTTCAAAATAGAGCAGGACAGTAGGCGACAGGTACTTTTGGAGGTGTGCAAGAAACCGATTATTATTTTAGTATCTTTAACGATGGATATTATATATGAATCTCTGTTGGTATCTGGGCTCAACCTGTGTACCAATAGATTTTCAAAGCAAGTTTTGATTCGAAAAATAAAACAAAGATTCAGTAAATACTGTCATGTAGCCAAGTTTACCTAGCAATAGCCCCTTGAACGAACCCATGTAACGAACCGATAGAAATTGATTCCACTGGGGATAAGGGTTCTTTTTAAGCGCCTTGTATATCTTTAGCAAGTACGTCCGTTCGGAGCTGTCCAGAAATTAATTATTGAAAGAGGAGGGTCTTGGAAAGGTATGTTAAAAATAGGCTTTATTTTACCTAATATATAAATTGGACACTCTCCTGGCGTGTATTCACATTCTTGTACACTCTTTTTCTTCTACACTGTCTCTAACCTTTTCTCCCAGCCTTTCGCTCCCTCCCTCTATCTTCCCATCTCTCCGTCTCCCCCTCTCTCACCATCTCTCTCCCTTTCTGTCCCACTTTTTCTATCTATCTGTCTCCCCCTCTATCACCTCTATATTTCCCCCTTCTTACCCTCTCCCTCTCTGTACGTCTCTCTCTGTGTCTCCCTCTCTCTCTAGCACCTTTCTATTTATCCCTCTCTATCCATTCTTCCACATCCCTCTACATCTCTGACCCTCTCTCTCTCTCGCTTTCTCCTATCTCTAAGCATTTCCGCCTCCTTTCCACATCCCTTCTCCTCTCTCTCCCATTCCCACTATCTCCCTCTCTTCCTCCCCCCGCCGTCCACATCCCCCTTTCTCTCATAAACGCATTAATTTGCATCTATTCTACATACAATATCGATAGTCTGAAGTTTATGCTTTGGGGGGGTGATATTTTCATGTCGGGGAGTTTGGGGAGGGGGCTTTTCTTACGTTGAGGTATACATCACAGCAATACAAGTAAGACCCTCAAAAAAAAAAAAAAAAAAAATGGTCCTATCTTCCGGACAGATGTTTGCAGACACAAATATAAATTCGCCCAGTGTTTACTTGTAGACTCAAATATAAAACAGATCGATATTTACCTACACAGTCAAGTATAATCACAATAAATCTTTGACATTATTGAAATTGACAGCGCTCTCTTTATAAAATTAAACAACATACACACATGCGGACACACGCGCGCACACATACACACACATACACGTATATTTGCGCAGGGATTTTTCGTTTTTCGACATTTCGTTTATAGACATTTGATTAAAAAACAATGAAAATCTATCCTATGGAGCATTTTGTGGTTTCCATTACATATTTAAATATAAATTGTCTGAGTGCTTTCGGCTTTCAAAAATCGTTTCCAAATTTTTTTGTTTTTGTGCTACTTCGGTTTCATCATTTTCAAATAGTGGGATTGACACTTTCTGCAATAAGGAAGAGAGAAAACAATTGATGACATAAAAGGGTAAAGATTAGAGTTTTAGAGAACCACCCACGCGGGATCTTTTTCCTCTCGGTTGCAGTTCGTGGGAAAAAATAGAGCTTAACAAAGAAGAAATGAGTGCGATTCGACTCCGTGGATGTAGTATAGCGTCACCGATATTTAAATGTTTGACATGATAGAACGAAATAATAGGAGATCATCTGAACATTTGCCATGGAAATAGCGATAGAGTAGTGATGGTCTTGCAATGTTAGCTCTTTGAGAAAGTAGATGCAGAGTGGAGAATAAGCCATCACTCGCGTAACGACTGTGTAAATGTCTGACCTATAAAGGTCCGAATTAGTGGAACTAAAAAATGAAGTTCATCTGAACATTTGCCATGGAAATAGCGATAGAGACGTGATGGGCTTGCAATGTTCAGTCTGTTGGAAAGAAGCTGCAGAGTGGAGAATAAGCCTTCCCTCATAGGACTGTGTAAATGTCCGAGATGTAAAGGTCTGAACTGGTGGAACTAAAAAATGGAGTTCATCTTAACATTTGCCATGGAAATAGCGATAGAGTAGTGATGGGCTTGCAATGTTCAGTCTGTGCGAAAGAAGCTGCAGAGTGGAGAATAAGCCTTCCCTAACAGGACTGTGTAAATGCCTGAGCTGTAAATGTCTAAACTTGTGGAATTAAAAATGGAGCTCATCTGAACATTTGCCATGGAAATAGCGATAGAGTATTGATGAGCTAGCAATTTTGAGTCTGTGGGAAAGAAACTGCAGTGTCGAGAATAATCATCCCCTCACAGAACTGTTTAAATGTCCGAGTCGAATATTTGCCATGGAAATATTGGTAGACTTACATTGTGACGTTGTGTCTATGGAAAATGTGCTGCAGAGTGGAAATAATTCATCATCGACAAGACGGATGAAACGATTTGAAAACTACCTACTGCAGGATTATGCGTTATCTTCCAGAAAATGTAACTAAGGTTCACTCACCATAGTCGGAGTGTGAACCAGTGGTAGGCTCTGTGGGTGATGAAAATAAAATGTGCCGGATCTGGCTCACATTGCAGAGATTTGCTTGCCAGTTGTGTTCGGAAACGTGAAGCCGGCCATTATGTTTTATTTATTTTGTTTTAAATATATTTAAAATGTGTAAAACATTGATCTCCGCATCGACAAACATTATGTAAACATTCTTTTTTTTTTTTGTCACAAAATTTAATATACAGTTAGCTCCCCTTCTAAAAATCATATCTGCCTGCTCCCGATATGAATATCCGGCCGTTGTTAAACGGAACACTCCTAAGTTAACTGAATATTACACACATTAAAAGATAAAAAAAAACCCCGACCAGCTACAAATGTACAAGAATGACAAATGTAATCTAGTCTACATAACAACACAGCGACAGTCTTTAAAACTTAACTCAAAAACAAAAGATTTGTGTTATGATGTTGATTTGGGGTTAGTAGAGACAAACGCCAAATAACACGTAACAATAAAAAGGGTTTTAATAGGTTGGTAAAAAGGTACAGAAATCGCCTGAGTAGTCAATAACTAGCTCAGCTAAGAACTTCACTGTCTATCTATCTTCCCCATGTCAACTGACATGCCACTATTTAAAGTCTTTGTTCACAGACGCAGACAAGTTCATCTTCAAGAGGGGTGGTAGGTTTCCGACACAACAATTTGCGGACATATGTTTATATGGACTTTTCTCGTTTTGGTGTGAGGAACCTGCCCCCAAAGTTTATAAAACTATTTATGATAAACCCTGTATATATACGGAAAAAACATTGTAAATTTATTTTGTTTGAGTACGGACATGCAGTTATTTAGCAAATGAATATCCTTATATTGTCTCTGGCATTAAAAAGACGACTTACTATAAGTTATCTTGTCAGTGGCAGGAGTTTTTTTTCTTCAATAAATGTTGCAATTTAATGTTTGTCTAATATATCATTATGTTTATCTTATATAAATTCTTTCCATTTTCTAGATTTGAGATTATTTTCGCCAAACCGTGGTCTCCTCTGCCTTTACCATTATCTCCGCTGTCACAAGTATCTTTTATTTTTTTTTTTGTTTTTGTTGTTGTTCTTTAGCAGCTTCCTGTTTTCTTAGGGTAATTTTCTTTTTCTTATGCCAAATTAGTCAATTTATACTATTTTTTTTCTACGTAAATATTTCACAATCAGTTTATTTTTTGTTTATTTTCTTTCACGACTCTTTCTCTTTTTTTCCTTGTCATTTCTATTCGTTCTTTTCTATTTAAATATATTTTTTATTTTACCCCAGCAATCATTATCGCTTTTTTTTTTTTAGATTTTTAGATATATTTATTTATTTATATTGTATTTTTACATTTTCAAGAAATATTCAAGCTGTCACCTTTCTTTCTTTCTTTCTTTCTTTCTTTCTTTTTTTCTCATAAGTATATGTTTTTAATACTATCGTTTTCATTTCTCTTTCCCGTCGTCACTTTTGCAAATTTAAAATGTTTTCTTTTTCTTTTTCTTTCCTTTTCTTTTCTTTTGTTTCTTTTCTTTCTGTTTGTTTTCTTTTTGTTTATTTTATTTCACTCTTTCGGATATACTAAATATTTTCTCAATTTTTTTCCAAATATTTAGCGGGTTATCTGATTCATTCTTTGTTTGTTTTTTTCTGTCTCTCTTTCTTTTTTCGTTCTTTCTTCTTTCTTTCTTTCTCTCTTTGTAAAATCCGTTAAATATTTTGCTTTTAATCTCATTAGTTCCCTTTGCTATCGCTTTCTTTCTTTCTTTCTTTCTTTCTTTCTTTCTTTCTTTCTTTCTTTCTTTCTTTCTATTTCTTTCTTTCTTTCTTACTTTCTTTCTTTCTTTCATTCGTTCTTTCTTTCTTTCTTTTTTAAACCCGTTAAATATTTTATTTTTAATATTGTCCGTTCACTGCACTGTCGTTCTGAATTCATTTCTTTCTTTCTTTCTTTCTTTCTTTCTTTCTTTCTTTCTTTCTTTCTTTCGCCTATATATTTTGTTTTCACACCATCCTTTTCATCCTTCTTCCTTTCCTTTTTCTTTGTTTCTTTTTTTCTTTGTGTGCTTGATTTATTAATTCTTTCTTTCTTGTTTTCTTTCTTTCAAAAATCCTTTAACTATTTAACTTTTAATATTATCCTTTCACCTCACTCTCAATCTCGCTTTCTTTCTTTTTTTTCTTTCTTTCTTTCTTTCTTTCTTTCTTTTGTTTTTATACTATCCTTTTCATTTTTCTTTTTCTTTCTTTCTCTCTTGTTTTTGTTTGCTAGATTGACTGATTCTTTCTTTCTTTCTTTCTTTCTTTTTTTCTTTCTTATTTTCCTTATATTATTAATACTATCCTTTCACCGCGTTCTCACTCTTTCTTTCTTTCTTTCTTTCCTATTTTCCATATATTAATAATACTATCCTTTCACCGTGTTCTCACTCTTTCTTTCTTTCTTTCTTTCTTTCTTTCTTTCTTTCTTTTTTCCTTCTTTCTTTCTTTCTTTCTTTCTTTCTTTCTTTCCATATATATTATTAATACTATCCTTTCACCGCGTTCTCTTTCTTTCTTTCTTTCTTTTTTCCATCTTTCTTTCTTTCTTTCCATATATTACTAATACTATCCTTTCACCGCGTTCTCACTCTTTCTTTCTTTCTTTCTTTCTTTCTTTTTTCCATCTTTCTTTCTTTCTTTCCATATATATTATTAATACTATCCTTTCACCGAGTTCTCTTTCTTTCTTTCTTTCTTTCTTTTTTCCATCTTTCTTTCTTTCTTTCCATATATTATTAATACTATCCTTTCACCGCATTCTCACTCTTTCTTTCTTTTTTCTATCTTTCTTTCTTTTTTCCATCTTTCTTTCTTTCTTTCCATATATATTATTAATACTATCCTTTCACCGCGTTCTCTTTCTTTCATTCTTTCTTTCTTTCTTTTTTCCATCTTTCTTTCTTTCCATATATTATTAATACTATCTTTTCACCGCGTTCTCCTCTTTCTTTCTTTCTTTCTTTCTTTTTTTTCCATCTTTCTTTCTTTCTTTCCATATATTATTAATACTATCTTTTCACCGCGTTCTCACTCTTTTCTTTCTTTCTTTCTTTTCTTTTTTCCATCTTTCTTTCTTTCCATATATTATTAATACTATCTTTTCACCGCGTTCTCACTCTTTCTTTCTTTCTTTCTTTCTTTTTTCCATCTTTCTTTCTTTCTTTCCATATATTATTAATACTATCTTTTCACCGCGTTCTCACTCTTTCTTTCTTTCTTTCTTTCTTTTTTCCATCTTTCTTTCTTTCTTTCCATATATTATTAATACTGTCTTTTCACCGCGTTCTCACTCTTTCTTTCTTTCTTTCTTTCTTTTTTACTCTTTTCATTACGCATTCCTATTTTCAGTCAAACTTATTCGTTTATTTGTTTCTCGTTGTTTCATTTTTTTTTTGTATTTCCTCATCTCCCAACCAAAAAAAAAACAACGTCTGAGATTTTCCTTCTTTTCTTTTTCCGCTCTTTTCTTTCTAATATTTATTCTTTGTCTTTTTTAGCAATTCATTCCGGTTAAACCTCATGTCCTAACGCTTTTCGCGCGAGCTTCATTATCTTTATTTTTGTTTACGCCATTTTCTAACTAACCGGATTATTCCTTTCTTCTTCTTCTTCTTCTTCTCGACATCTTTCGTCAACGAATTGACTCGAAAGCAAAAACATTCTACCTTCCTGATATTGTCTCGCTTTTCAACCTCCCTCTCTCTTCTCTTTTCTCACTCTTTTTTTTTTTTTTTTTTTTTGTATGTTACCTTACCTCTGGCGATAACCTATCGATCAGTGAATTTCGATTAGAGATCCATTACCCCAGTCTTGCCACTACCTAACGACTTGAAATTGATTAAACGTCACTTGGGCTCAAAATTTACGACGACTGATTTAGACTTGATGCATTGGCGGGAAAATGTCGAACTGAAATCGCGAATGAGTTCAAATCTGCTGCTGTAAAAAAAAAAAAATAAAATAAAATAAAAAAAAGAGAAAAGAAATGAATGAAAGAAAAAAGACTAATATATAGATAAAAAAGACTGCTAAATTTGCCTTAAGTGCTAGTAAGTGAAATGGGCTTGCAAAAGACTGCTTGAGGGTTAGGCTATCAATACTATATATATATATATATATATATATATATATATATATATATATATATATATATATATATGTGTGTGCGTGTGTGCGCGCGTGTGTGCGCGTGTGTTTAGGCAGCAATCTTTCTTTCATGCACATTTCATTGAATACGACAGACAGGGTGCTTTGATTTAGTTTTTTATACAATTTCTTATGCGATCAAATATTTTTTTTTTCTTTTCAGATGATAAATTATATAAAAACTGTCCGAATGACAACGCAAATGTAATACCATCATCTACATGCAAAAAAGGCTAAAATTAATGACAGCCTTCTTAATAAAAATAATTAAAAAAAAATCAACACTTAATAATATCAACTATGAACATGGCCACAATATCTTGACCGTGTTTTTGAAAAATAAAAACATTATATAAATACATACATGCAACAAACCGTTCCTTATTTGACAGTTAAAATATTTAATCCTTGAAAATGGCTAAATGTATAGCCGAAATCGCGCGGAAAACCAGAAAATTCGGATTTTTTTTATATTATTTATCATCTGAAAAAAAAAATATTATTAGATCGCATGAGAAATTGTATAAAAACTAAATCAAAGCACCTTTTCTGTCATATTCAATATATATATATATATATATATATATATATATATATATATATATATATATATATATATATATATATACTTACTCTCTCTAAATTCTGTTTTTATTTCCGTAGTTGTTTTTTTTCTTTTTTCTGTTTTCCTTTTGAATTAGGTCTGATGAATTGGATCTTATTTACGATTCCAATGGAATAAATTATGACCATGGAATATTAGTGTTTAAGCCTTTTTATTATATCCTTACTCTGTCCTGGACATTGAGTTCTACCTGGATTCTTCCTCTTGGAATTTTTATTCAAAAAATATACATGTATGGGTATGGGTATTTATATATTTTGCATATGTATGTATATTTACCACTAATATTATCTATCTATATATATATATAAAAAAGAGGGGGTATCAGTATTTATACGTTCGTGGGAAGAGTTGCAGGTAAACATGTTCATACTCAGAGTTTCTGTCATATATGTCACACAGGGGTACGCACGCTCACACCTGTTCATATGGAAAACACCGGATTACACACATTCTGATACATTCATATATTTTAGCGTGGTTTTACTTTCCTATTGAGAGACAAACATGTCGAGATTCATATATTGTCTTTGTCTCTGTTTTTCTCTCTCCCTCTTACACACAAACTCACATATATACAGGCATACTCATATACACATCCATACACGCAAGCATATATGATATAACGATATATAATTTTGTATAAATTTTACATATCAACAAACATTATTTAGAAAATTATTACAAACTGGAAAAGTTTTGTGAAGGGTTTTATCCGTTAGGGTTTCATCGCACTGGGCTTTGTTGACGTTGTCACGACTGCACATGCGCACGAAACGAGAGACGCAGGAAGTATCAAAATTTTGGGAAAGAATATTTTTGAGAGTATATTTTATTCTTTTTTTTTTTTACAACAAATCACCATTCTTGGTAGATCTTCTTTTGTCACAATGTTGGATAGTCAGGGACAAAGGTGATGGCGAATAAAAGAAAAGAAAAAGAATGCAGACGAATTTGGCTAGATAATAAAAAAAAAATCACAAAAGCTTTTCCAGTTTGTCCAGAGGAAATATATGATGAAATGTTTCCATTAATCTATATGAGCATTGAAGAATAACTTAGCACAAGAATTAGAAGAATTGTATAACCTAATTTCCATGAACTTGTTGACATTTCTCTCAACCTTATGAACACTCAGGAGCCAAAAATATATAGCTAAATATAGTATATATATATATATATATATATATATATATATATATATATATATATATATATATATATATATATATGTATCCATCCACGAACTATGTTATTCTCTGTTTCTCTAACAGACACACACAGGTACGCATCCATCTATCTATCTATCTATCTATCTATCTATCTATCTATCTATCTATCTATCTATCTATCTATCTATCCTTCATATCTATCTATCATCTATCTTTCCATTTATCTTAGTTTGTTCACATCTAACTTTTGAAGTAATATCTATCTATCTATCTATCTATCTATATATATATATATATATATATATATATATATGTGTGTGTGTGTGTGTGTGTGTTGTGTGTGTGTGTGTTTTGTGAGTGTGTGTGTGTGTATGAGTCTTTGTGTGTGTGTATGCATGTAAGTATTAATCAACTGCGTGTGGTAAGAGTTAAAAAGAGAAATATTGCTAAGGAGCGAGAACAAAAAAATGAGTCAACCTGGAGACAGTAGATAGCAATTGACGTTGCATTGAAATCTTTGCAGACGTTTGCTGAAAAGCATAGAGACGGAAGCACGTCCCACAAGTGAGAAGAGCGAGTAAAGTATTTACGGCTACATCTAGCCAACTTAACTGTAAATTGACGAGACTTCAACGCCTGTCTAGTACTCTGCATAAATTATATATATATATATATATATATGAAGAAATATAGTCTTATGCGACATTTATGGGATAAAGTGCTCGATATCAGAGATAGAGCGTGTGTAATATAAATGTGAACATGGAAGTTAGAGGCGACAGTCTGTTTCATGCTATATGTGGCCTGACGATTGCATATAGCA